TATATATATATGCGTGTGTGTGTGTATATATATATATATATATATATGTGTGTATATATATATGTGTGTATATATATATATATATATGTGTGTGTGTATATACATGGGGACTGGTGGCGCAGAGGTTAGAGAAGGTGGGCCTCTGATCGGAAGATTGCCGGTTCAAGCCCCGGTACTGACAACATCAAAAATGTGGGCGGGGTAGGTGAAACACCCACACCTGCCCCGACCCACATTCGCCCCACCTTGGGCCCGTGAGCAAGGCCCTCAACCCCCATCTCCCTAAAATGTTGGTTATGTATTGTAACCCCAGATTCTATGAGTATAGGCACAGCCCTTTAAGGCTATGGCTAGTGGGTTTATCCCTTCGCGTGCAGCGCAGCACTGAAAACTTTACTCCGCGCCCACCAGTTGTGTGGGCCCCACCCCCGGTCCGTATAAATTACAGTAAGACCGGGCAGTCGACTCCCAAATAGCTTTTTTCTTCAGCCATTTAGGAACCAGTGAGGCCCAGAGCTTAAAGGGCTTCACCTATACTCTTAGAATCTGGGGTTACAGTACGTAACCAACGTTCTATTTCGTATAGGCTTCGCCCTTTAAGGTTATTGCTAGTGGGTTAAAGGCGAAACAGGATGTAGTCTATGCCTCATTGACCCACTCAGACACAACATGAAGCACCTGCTTGCACAAAAAAACATTTCATCACTCAGCCTTCTGTGTGCGTAATTACGCACTTCGTAATTGCGTGCTCCATGCGCAGGAGCGCACCGGCGAGAAGATCTCTGGGGAGGAAAAAGGCTGAGATGGCAGACCTGCTGCTGTGAATAGGAACAATGGAGGTTACGAATTGTAACAGTGTAACGATGAACACAGCTGGCCAACAGCTCCTCAGGATGAACCAATTAATAACAATAAAATCAGCAGTCATGAACTTGTGACTAATAATAAATATCTCACACAGCTACTGCATGCAGGCAGGTGTGAGCTCAAAAGAGAGGCTCCATGAAACAAATAATAATTAAAGCTGCAAGCAGCATTGAAGGCCCTCGCAGCAAAGCGCCGCTCCGGCCTTACGGTGAGCTCGGGAGCTCCAGCAACTCCACCCAGTCGCCATCGCGAATGCTCTCGCTCTCTTCGTGCGCCCGTTTCCCGGGGTTTGCATATGCCAAACCGTCGACGTCACCCGTGGGCGCTCCAGTAACGTCTCCCAGTCGCCGTCGCCAACGCTGTCGTGCCATTCCCGCACGCATCCACCAGGGTGCACATAATGCCTAAACTTGACAATTGCCTTCTGCCGATATCAGTATGAGAGGGGGCGTACTTGAGTCACATGTTAAACCACAATATCAATGTGTTTAGCCGTGCTCACCGATTATGCACCAAAAATCTGGTTCCGATCGGATGATGTATCACTGAGATATAACTGTTGAAATAATGTAGGGGGCGCACTTGAGTCAAATGTGAAAGAACAATACCATTGTGAATATAAGTGCTCAATAATGATGCACCAAAAATTTGGTACAGATCGGATTATATATCACTAAGATATAACTTTTAGAATAATCTAAGGGGCGCTCAGGAGTCAATTGTTAAACAACAATACCAATGTGTTTAGAATGGTTCATTGATCACGCACAATAAATCTGGTACAGATTGGAAGATGTATAACTGAGATATTACTGTTGGAATAATGTAGGGGGCGCAATGGAGTCAAATGTTAAAGAACAATACCAATGTGTGTGGAAGTGCTAACTGATCATCCACAATAAATCTGGTACATCTTGGATGATATTTCACTGAGCTATAACTGTTGGAATAATGTAGGGGGCGCACTTGAGTCATATGTTAAACCACACTATCAATGTGTCTAGACGTGCTCACCTATTATGCACAAAAAATCTGGTTCCGATCGGATGATGTTTCACTGAGATATAGCTGTTGGAAGAATCTAGGGGGCACACTTGAGTCAAATGTTAAAGGACAATTCCAATGTGTCTAGAAGTGCTCACTGATCACGCACAATAAATCTGGTACATATTGGAGGATATTTCACTGAGATATAACTGTTGGAATATTCTAGGGAGCGCACTCGAGTCATATATTAAATCACAAGATCAATGTGTCTAGAAGTTCTCAGTTATGAGGCACATTAAATCTGGTTCAGATTGGATGATGTATCACTGAGATATAACCCTAGTAATAATCTAGGGGCGCTGTGCAGGCTATTGGCTTCTTATAGATACCTGTTCAAGGGTTGCCTAATGATCGATCATAGTGATTTTGGTACACCTCAGCTGAAATCTGTGCAATTTAGAGCCAACGTATTGCAACGGCGTCACTTCTTAATTCGCCATGCCACCACGCCCACATCCTCCAGCAAAAACAGTTTGCACTTTAAATCAAGTCAAACCATATTATCTGTCTTCTAACACAGGATCATCCTGATTAGGTCAAGGGTGTCAAAGAGGGAGCATTTCAAGTAAAAAAAAATAACTTCCTGTTCTCAGGGGACGGGGCTTTGATGACGTCAAAATATGACCAAAGTGAATTGTCGGGTATCTAACAGGGATGAGTCATGCCAAGTTTGGTGCGTTTCGGTCGTTCAATGCGCAAGTTATAGCGTTTGGATATTTATGGCGTGAAGCGCAACTTTGAGGCCTGGCCACACCCCTTTAACCTAAACAAAACTGAAAGCTTTTGGTACCTTCTCCCCCCAATGTCTCAAGGGCATATTAACCAAGTTTGAAGGCAATCACTCAAAATCCCTAGGAGTTTGTTAAAATTCGCCTTTAGAAATGCCCAAAAATGACCCGTTGACCCAAAATGGCTGACTTCCTGTTGAGTTTGGATTTGGGATCCAAGAGACTTTTTCATAGGTCCAAAGAAGATACAGATGTTTGCCGAGTTTCAGAATTATCGGTCAAAAAATTATCACACCTGTCATGATTTGACCATTCAGTCTTGCAGGGCACCGGATGTGGATCAATCACTGAAGGTTTGATATCTCAGACAGTTTTTGTGTAGGAGCTATAAGTAGGGATGGGGCCGATCTGATCCTGTATCGGCCTCCGATACCAGCATAATTTACGTATCAAATTTTTCCAATCCACGTGCCGATATTTCCGATCCATGATGCATGTCTGTGGTTCCGCTGCACGTTGGCTTCAAACTATGGAATGGATTTCATGAACGGCAGCTTGTCTCATGAATCCAGAGTAATAAGAACCGCCTCACATTCAGGAAATCCATTTCATAGTTTGCAGCCAGCTACAACGTGAGAGCTGAGTTAGCAGCACTGTGGCTAACAACTAACCGACTTTTCATTGAAACATGTCCGCTCTGTGGAAATATTTTATATTAGAAACACTACAAAGCAAGACAGCAACGTGCAATGTCTTCAGAGCCATAGCGCCACATTAAACCGCGGTAAAGTTAGTTTTACGTTGGACATTCAAGCTCCGTGTCTTCAGCGGGGCACTACTCTCGCTGAATCCGAAAGAGGCGACTCGACCTCGGCCAGCCGCGTCCTATCTGCCCCGCTCAGTCTGTCCGTCTCTGAGAGGGACAGACTGAGCGCGGCTGCCCCAAATCAGACTGCCTGCTTCGGATTGAACAAGAAGAAGACATCGCTGAAACCATGGAGCTCTAATGTTTACAGAGAAGTTGCTAAACTTCATAATTAATGTCCAACTCCTATCAGTTTTAGAAAACAAAGGATTTCACAGTTTGATATTTGCATCCAAGATATAGTTTACCCTCCAGGAGATATTTATCAGTACAACAGTAGACAATCATAAAAAAACCATGATTTGAAAATTATATATATTAAAAACAAAAGACAGCTACATTATAAAGTGATGTAAAATACTAAAAACAGGAACATGTCTGTTGGTTTATGCCATGAACTTAGCAGGTGTTTGAAGCCATTTAACATTGTATTTAATTTAATTCATTTATTCATTCATTTAAAAGAAACAAAATAATAAAAAAAAATCAAAAAGAAAATATTGAATGAAAAGAGTGCAGAAAGAAGGAAAAAAAAGCTTATATCTGCCCCTTATTTAAATAAATATAAAATAACTTTAAACAATCAATTAAATTAATCACTTTAATATCCACTTTAAAGCTAGGAATAAAAATAAACACGTTTTGTGTTAGCAGAATTTAATTCTAACTTTAAAACTTATCCAACATTAATAAAACTTACCTCAAGTTGCCTTTTTGGACTTGCATGCATATATTTGTACAAATTGTACTTGAGAGTAGATTATTACAGCCTCATATAAAATC